GCTTAAGTGACTTTTGCACAGTACCATATATTTTCAAGTATTAATGATGAAAAAGAGATAAAGATAAATACAGACAAAAGAATATAAGAATAAGTTCAGAAAAAAGGCAGAGATAACAGAGAATGTAGGAAAACCAATTATTATATAAAGACCCTTTCATTCCAAAATGCTATATATTCATTTGTAACAATATTGGATATAAGGAGTTTTTGATAAAAGAGCTGATATATGATGGAAAACACATTTTTTTTTTCTCTTATGAAGATACAAGGTACAATTTACACTTCATTAAGTTCACCTCCTTGTTTCTACTGCTCATTGTCCATTTTATCAGCTACACTTACCACACAGGTGCACTTTGTAGTTCTACAGTTACAGACTGTAGTTCATCTGTTTCTCTGCATACTATGTTAGCCCCCTTTTACCCTGTTCTTCAGTGGTCAGGAACCCACTGGACCACCACAGAGCAGGTATTATTTGGATGGTGAATCACTCATACCACTCATACCAGCGCAACACACACTAACACACCACCACCACCACATCAGTGTCACTGCAGTACTGAGAATGATCGATAGTACCTGTTCTGTGGTGGTGCTGTGGTGGTCTTCAGTGTATGAAAATACGCAAGCGGGCCCATGTTGGCTGGCCCTGACCTTAGCATCAACAACTCTAACAAAAGTGAGTAACAATTTCCACCTCCATCTCTCAGGAAAATGGCTAAGTTTTCAGGTTTTCAAATATGTTATGCCTATATTTGCTTGAATATGGGTGTCCAAAAAGTTATTTAGGAGGTGCTAGACCAACCAAGGACCTCCTGTATTTCGCATTCTTGGCGGTCCTGACCATTGAAGAACAGGGTGGAAGGGGGCTAACAAAGTATGCAGAGAAACAGATGGACTGTAGGACTACAGAGTGCTCCTATATGGTAAGAGGAGCTGATAAAAAGGACAATGAGTGTAGATACTTGGTACTGTGTGGGAACTTAATGAAGTGGCCGGTCAATGTAGCATATCTGTAAACCCCACTCCCAACAACTAATATCATGAAATAAAAGCAATTTCTTTAAAGTCGTCTATAACAGGTTTTGAATTAGAAACTGAGGAACGCTCTCTCCTCCTCATCTGCAGGCTGAAACGCAGAGCCCGGGCCGTTTTTTCTGTTTCTGTGACATTCACCGTTCAGCAGGGACTCTTGTGCTGATGTGCTGGTTAATGGTGGAGGGGGCGAGGCAGGCCCGGGGCAGCGCGCGCTCCCGTCATTAGCCATTCTCCTCACATCCACCCTGAACTCGCGGCGATTAGCCTCGTGAACGCGCCTCTTCGCCGCGCGGAAAGTAGGTCAGAGAATTTAAAGGCACAGCGTGGCTCTGAGCGAGCACAGCTAAACGGAACTGCAGTAGCCTCTGTGTAGACTGGCCGCCGTTTTCCAGGTGATGGAAGGACGTAATCAGCCTCTGTAGGCATGGTCTGTTTATCAGGACTCATTTAAAGGAGATTTGTTCAAAAATGTCGGCTTAGTTAAACTGTAAAGATGTAAACAAAGTCATTTAGAATGGTTTGATGTGAAAATGTCCCCTTCCAGAGGATCTTACCGAGACAGAATAACTCTAAGGCCCAATCCCATTTCACCCCTTGCCCCTACCACTTATCCCTTACCCCTCCATTTTCTGCGTTCATGCCTAGGGGGTAGGTTGTCCTGATTTTTGCTGAGACAGAGATGATTTATTTCACTTGTAAATCGTTACAGAACAATGCAGTACATTGTAAATGGTTTAAGTGAGCATAAAGTTTATTATGTAATTTTACAAGTGGTCAGTATGAACCTCCTCCGCCCATACTCAGTCGAGCGTGTCAGGTGTCACTGCACTCACAGCTCCTTCAATGCGATTCCGGAGATCATCCAGTGCTGTGGAGCCAACGGAGCATCACTGCTGATGAAAATCATGTTGCCCAGTTATGACAGATTGAAGTGGACAATGCAAACCGCTCTCTGCTCAGGGGTCTCCATCTCCTCACAGACTGAAGGGAGCCATCTTCCGGTGACAGTCAGAAGCTCTATGACCCCCTCTTTCAATTGGTATGTGATTGGTTCCTAGGCGCGTCAGGGTTGTAAAAACATGGTGCTTTGAATTCGGATGAATATTTTTGAATCACCCTGTATAGCTTTATGTAGTTTTTCTGTTATCACATTAATAAGTGATTAAGACTTAATTTCTTAAATTCTTATTTAAACTAAACCTTTTCGTAACTGAATCCTAGACTTCTTAATCTCTATAAAAACTGATATTTTAACAACGCTGTGGCAGTGTGTCAACCAAATGATGTAATGGCACTAAAGCTTAGTGAATTGGTCTTGCCAAATTTAGACTATCGTCACTCATACTCAAGCAGCTCAGCCAAATAATTGCACCTGATTATGTTTATTTTAGCCTGTTAGCATTGGCTTTGGTTCTAATATCTCTAGAATTTGAATTGTTAATTCTGTTTAATTCAGATAGAATAGCAGATAGAGACTACTTAATTTCTTGAAGAGGGCTTGATTTTCTGAGTCTTGATCTGGACTTGGCCTCCTTTAGACTCGTTCTTGTCTTATTTGACTTCAAGACAAGTCGAAAATCGTCTTGAATACAGCCCTCGTAGTAACTAGTTACTTTCACTTAGTTACATTGATAAGTACAATTTTGATAAATTTGTGCTTCATTTTTTTTACTTTTACTTCTACTCAATTTTTGAGGAACGTGATCTACTTTTTACTCCACATTTACGGTCCTTCACATTTAGTTCCCAATTCCTTCTCATTCTGTTACTTTAGTGGCAGCTTTTGGCTTTTGTAATTTGCAGTTGGTCATCATGCATTTTTAGATCAAGAGTGATCAGAAAGAGAAAAATACAGCCTAGCAAACTTCACGCTCCGATGCTGACAGATGCTAGAAGTTCTATGAAGCGCTGCTGCAGTTCCTTAAGTTATTTTGTCCTTAAGTTGACCTACTTTCTGCATTTACAAGATAGAAAAGGCTGAAATCAAGCTGCTACGGCTTGAATAATAGGAATGTCACTTGTTTCTCTTCCATTGGAAAGGCTTGACTTTTGGTTTCAGCTATCCTGTTTTCTGAAATACTCTACAGTTGTGTTTCAGAGCAGGAAAACAAAAAACTGTACAGTGCAGTGGGGCTACAGAAGCTGGGAACCACTCGTCTAAAGTGTGGCCTGCAATGGCCTAGGCTGTGGTATTATGATGTGCCTTTCTAAGACTGCATTGGAAACTCCGGTCATGAATACTTTAGAGACATAAAATATGTATAGACTTTCTATTTTTTGCCTGCAAATGGGTGCTTTTGTAAGCTGCACAAGCACATTCATACAGACATGGCCTACAGTAACCTATGAACCAGGACATTATGGTAATAAATCATACATGAAAAAGCATATTAGCATGTTTGCTGTATTTGTGTGGTCAAATTCAAACCAGAGAGTATTTTTTTCATTTGTTTTAATGAAAACAACGCAAAAATACCACACACTACATAATAATGATAAAAAAAAGACAATAAAACAAAATCCATAATGCAGATATACAGTCAAAAATCCTGAAGTTGTGCATTTTTTCATAATAATAATAATAATGATGATAATAATAATAATAAAAGTAATATAAGGTATAAAAACAGACAAACTATTTCATATGCAAGTGTTGGGCTAAAAATGTTCCCTTCATCTTCATGCCATTAAAACGCATGCAAACGTAAATAGGGTCATTCACTAAATACTCAAATACATTTTTTTCCCCTAATGTTCTCAGAATTTAGTATTAAAAAAAAAAAAAATTCAAAAGATCATCCTAAACCCTGAAAAACCCTGAAGAATTCTCTCGCACAGAAGAGTCAGAGCATCCTGAACACACATGAATGAGACCTTTAAAAAATCCACCACACGACTAACAGGCCCAGAGAGCGGAAAATTCCCAATTCTCCAACGTGCTCTCTGCTCTGCTTACAAATAACTTAAAGGAACAGTTTGGTGACAAATTAAATTTACCCAGTTTTCCCCCTTCACTCAAATATAGTCGATTAGCCAAGAAATGTTTAGTGTCCTAAATTTGCTTAGAATTTTTTGCACTGGAACTGCAGTGCTAATGTTGCTAGTAAGTAATGGAAGCTGATACATCAGTAATTCGCGCTGAGGAAACTTGCTAAATCACAAACTGGCTTCAGACCTTGTGTTCCACTGATTTTTGAAAATTACTGCATCGTTAAAAATGTTAAGACAAAGACATTCAGAGTTGCTTGATGTGAAAAGCTCCTTTCTAGCGAAACGGAGTCAGAATTGTTCACAGTGATGGTGACAGGAACCAGACGTCTAAAACGCTTAATGCCTCTAAAAGTTCCCTCACAGAAAGCTATTACATAAAATGGTTAAAAATACATTTCCTAATGTCTGAGACATGGTTTTATGACAGGTTTGCGAATGGTGGAGAGGTACATGCTGGACATTGTAAGGCAAAATAATCCCCACATCCATTTTTTCCCAATTTACAACTGTTGAACCATTATCAGCATGTTGGGTAATGTAGTGAGGGACTACATTACCCAACATACCTTGATCCAGAAGAAGGGGTGAAGCTTATTCCTTTATGTAAATCTGGTGATCCAGATCCCAACCTTGCCTCGTAAAAAGAGTGGACATACAATAAAAGAGTGGACAAATCAACGTTACATTTAAAAACTCGACACGTGTTGGTTCACTAGTCATTTTGGATAGTAAATAAAATGGAAATATTTGCATTGTAGACATTGCGCCCCCTGGTTCCGATCACCACCACTGTGAGAAACCTGAGTCGGTATAAGAAATGCACCATTTCTTATCAAACCACTATGGATGGTTTTGTTTACATCTCAACGATGGAATTATGCAGATAGATTATAGCAGTAGAATTCCTATGTGAATAAATCACAAATAGAGGTTTCTGACACTGCATGACAGTCATCTATAAAATATTCCTTTAAATAGAGCCTATCGACAAAGCTAAAGAAGTAAACTTCGTGCATCTTGGCTGATCTCATTTGGGGTAATGGGAAAACATGACATTTTGCCAAACTATCGCTTTAGCAGGACATCTCACTCTCTCTTTGATGACCTAAAGACTAAACTCACCAGCCACTGCACTGAAGAATTAAACAGGGATAGAACAGTAACAGCACCATAGTTTTAGTTTTTTTTTCTCCTGGTTTCCTTGTTATTAAACGATTTATATAATCTTCTCGACACAAAATCTGATCCATGAGTATGAAAACAGTGAGGTGAAGACTAGTATTGGCATTTCAAAAGGGTGACTATTTTACACAAGTTCACTTACAGTCATAGCTCTTTATATCAAGTACCACCATTTTACTCTTTGGCAGCCTCCGTACATATCTGAAGGAGAAAAGGGAGGGTAGAATTAAATAATATTTAAAATATCCAAATTCTCACTACTTATCACTTACCACTTGCTATACATATCAGATATTACCATATAACAGTCTTTATCTTCCATATGCTCTAAATACTCTACCATTTTTGGATCTATGAACTGGCAAATTCCTTCTACCCAAGCACAGTCAAGTGCTTTTAGCTACACAACAGTCTGTGATCTGTGACAAACTACACGGAAGAGAGATATGCTAATGTCAGCTAGTGAAATGAATCGTGAACTGAAATCTTAGGAAGACGAGTTAAAAACCTTAATTCGAACAGCTGAGCAGGCCTTTTGTGAGGGACTACATTACCCAACATGCCTTGATCCAGGAAAGGGGAGGAGCTTATTCTTTTAAATCTGGTGTTCCAGATCCCAACCTTGCCCCGTAAAAAGAGTGGACATACAACTGACATCAAATCAGATGCCAGTGGTTAACAATAATCACAGAAAAAAAAAAACAAGAAAAAAACAAAAAAAACAATGCAGAATATAGACAAAAAATAAGTTATGGTGGGTTCATTTTAAATCTAACAAGCAGTTCCTCACTCTTACAAAGAATGTAAATAAATGTTATAGGCCTGTAATGTAAATAATGCTATGGACTTTTAAAACTTTGAGGTTTGTGGTGGCCTATGCTAAGTAGTTGCTATGCTAGGACCTAACTGAGGTTTGTAGGTGGAATATAGTCCTGGCTGACCAGATGCATTCTGGGATTTGTCGTCCAGACTGCATCTTGAGCTTTCCAAAGCAGAGGGATGTGTTCTGAGATAATGAGTTGAGGCTGAGTGATGGATTGTGGGACCTGCAGTCCTTTTTCGCTGGATTGGATTGTCGTTGGCATTTTGTGAGCATTTTAAAGGCTTTTCTTTTGCGGCGCGTTGAGTTTCCTCATTCCCCTTATCCTCCCGAGCAGCTCCTGCACAAAAGCCTATGTGAGAGCAAGAGAGATAGAGTCAGTTGTCATAATCAGTACATCTGCTCATCAGTCATTCTATGAAGTACAGACACTACTGCTTTTAGACAGTGGCCTAATTTCAAATAGGGTTTTTTCCTCAAGTCATCATGAGATACTCATTTTTACCATGCTGCTCACTCTGCTGCAGTGTGTGCATGCAAGTGTGTGTGTGTATTAAGCCTGTAGGTGTGGGTCACAGAAAACTGGCTGCCGCAAGGTCACCGGTCTTGTTGTGACAGTGGTGACTCATTTGGCGCACACACCGTCACGCACGCATTCCCCATGACATTGTTCATTGTAGACGTACAGTGTTAGAGGCCTGGAATTGTTTACGCTGTAAACAACAATGTATCCCCAGCTGCCATCCTGCAAGTTTAATTTCTGTCCTAGTCTTGGGGCCACTGCACACTAGAGGAGCCACGCAGCATCACAAAGCAGATAGTACGAAGTGCAACTATAGCACATGCAAAGTGCTGATAAGAATCAAGTTCATTTTACACTCTACTTATACAGATTTAATGGAATAAAACTACATCATTTAGTGATTTTGTCACGTTTTGTAAATGTACAAGGTGCAAAACAATGTGACCAGGCTTAACATTAGCTAAATTAACAGAAGATTAGCATCTGTTTCTCTTAAAGAATTTCGACCAGGTATTCTTAACATCTTCCAGAGTGCTTACCTCTTTTTAGGGTTAAAAAAATTTAGAGTTTAGTATTTTTCAGAAACACCACAGCTTGTTCCGTTTTCTACTGGCTGATAATTTCCATTGCATAGAAAAGCGTTGGACTCAACACACAACTATTTTTTCATTATTTTAAAGGCATGATCTTTGACTGACTGTGTGTGCATGTATGCAAGACTTTACAGTATGGTAACTGGTAAAGCATATCAGTGTGTATGAATGGGGGTCAGTAGGTTAGACTGCCTCAGTGCAGTAGGTCTGATGTCTGATGTTCTTTGTATTTGGATGGATCCATTAGACAGATGTGCGTTTTCCGGTCAGTAGACTCCACAGGACTGCCTTGGGCCAGCCTGTGTGTCTGTGTTGGAGCAAGAAGCTGGTGCGAATCCTCAACTCTGAACTATCTAAATACATATATTAATCCTTAATGTCAATATTCAACTCAAACATGCAGTGAGGCTTGAGACACAACACATTTTGTAAACAGAAGGACTTACATCAGTGGGCTTATAGCAGTCTGTAAGGGATTCCTGGTGAGAGAGAAACATAGATCTTAGCATCTTAAAATAGCTAGGCTTGGGACAAAAATACACATTTATCTAAATTGAGCACTTTTTCCCCCTCCAATATGGATAACACATTATATGAGGTATATTTGACAAAATGATTACACTCCTCTGTTTCTCAATCCAGTATTAGCAGTGCAGGTTTCACCTTTAGGTCAATCCTTCTTTGGCACACTAGGTAGTGATGTAAGCCTTTTACTCATTAGTCAGAGAGGGAGAAGTCTAGCCATTCACTAGTCATGTCTTAAAATCAAAGCTGAGGCTGAATATTTCAAAACCTTTCATTGCAAACTCTGGTGCTGCAACATATTGTAGCAGTTTCTGCCATTTTTAAATGATTTAGCACTGCATGTGAAGGATTGTGAGTGATTGAAGGTCTGGAGTCCTTCAAATTCACAGAAATTAAGGGTGCATTTAACCAAACCACCTTTAGTGACGTAATGACTTCCTCGGCTGCAACCTTGGCTTTGAGACACAACCTCCTGACAGCAGCACACTCCAGCAGGATCGTTAGCACAATAAGCTAGCTAGTATTAGCTGTTTTGAAGTTAGGAAGAGTAAAGAAGGCAGTGAGGAACATGAGATTGTTGAGGGGGGGTGGGGGGGGCGCGGTCGGGGGCATTGTGGACTAAGTTTATTTTTCTTAAACCGGATGTAGCACAGAGCAGCAAAAAGCTTTGTCCTGTGTAGGGTTCAAATATTATTCAGACTTAAAATTTATCATTAGGAAACACACATGACTAATGATAATTATGGAAATCTAATAATACAGAGAAATGTAATAAGATTAGAATACTAATTTTAGCCAATCACAAATAGCTGAGGATGATTACATGGAAATAAATGAAAATCATATGGATGTGATAACATGAAAAGACTAAATTACACTGACATGGGAGGTAGATCTAATACGTTTTCTTATGTATGAAGACACACACACACACACACACACACACTTACCTGTAGCTTTACAGCTCTTTCATCTTCACTGTTGACCTCCAGGAGATCATCAATGTCTATTTCCACCTCCGGCATCTCTTCATCCTGCAACATGAAAGAGCTTTTAGCTCCAAACAATTCCTACTTTTACCCGGTGACCATGTGCACATTTTCTCACTAGATGGGACGACAGACGTCCAGCTGTTCACTCACATCAGAACACACCAAACACACAAACACAGATATCTCAACTCAGAGAGTGATTTATAATAGATTTATAAGAGAGAGAGAGAGAGAGAGAGAGAGAGAGAGAGAGAGAGAGAGAGAGAGAGAGAGAGAGAGATGGAAAGAAGAGAGGAAGAAGAGAGAAAAAGAAAGAAGAGGGAAAGAAAGAACAGAGAGAGAAATGGAGAGAAAGAAAAAGGAGAAAGTGAGACAGGAGAGAGAGAGACAGAGAGAGACAGAGACAGAGAAAGAGAGAGAGTATGACTGACAGAGAGAAAGATGAGAGACAGAAAAAGTGTGAAAGGAGAGAAAGAAGAGAGAGAAAGAAAGATCATGAGAGAGACAGAAAGAAAAAAAGAAGAGAAAAGTATGACTGACAGAAAGAGAAAGATGAGAGTCAGAAAAAGGAGAAAGTGCGAAAGGAGAGAAAGAGACAGAAAGAGAAGAAAGAAGAGAAAAGAGAAGAGAAAGGAGAGTATGACTGACAGAAAGAGAAGAAAGATCACGAGAGAGAAACAAAGAAAAAGAAGATTGAGAAAAGAAAAAGAAGAGACAGAAGGAGAGAGAACAGGAATAGTGAGACATTGTTTATTAGAGAAATATATTTCTCTATATTAGAGAAATAAAAATGCACTTTCCATTATACGTCAACAGTTATTAATAATAATTAATAATAAAATAATTTTGATGTCTTTTTTGAAATAATGCACCAAATCATTTCCTAAAGTATCGGAACCAGATCATAGCTGGAAGTCAGAGATTTACACTCATAATAAACATAAAATACATCAGTGCTTTGCCTCTGGAGGTGAAGACTGGCAGTATGTGACAGTGTGATGAGAGCTGAGAGGCGTGTTACAGTGTGCTGAGAGCGCTTTAGCGCCCAAACCTCTCAAACGTTGTGGAAGCGTTTTCTGTAATGTTCTGTAAACGTTCTGGAGATGCTTGAAGCCCACCAGGCTCAGATTAATCTCAGACCTCATTAATCACAACAGTGTGTCAAAGTGGTGACAAACACACACATGGTGAGATGAGGGCTATAAATATTCTGCCCTCTGTACGTCTGAAGTGAGGTGGTGAAGGGGGTGTATTTTCCATTTAGTAATCTGTTTGGAATGAAAGACTGACAAATGAGTGTGAGAGCGAGAGAGAAACGGAGAGAGAGAGGTGATAGACTGAGAGACGAGGAGAGAAATGCAGTCAGTCAGGTTTTCTTACTTGGGGACACCTAGCTTTTTATTAACTATGAGATGCTAAGTCATATTTATAACATTCAAAGTCAAAATTATGAGATACCAAGTCATAATTATGACATCTGAAGTCATTATGAGGTACTAAGTAGTAATTATGAGATTCAGTCATAATTAAGACATTTGAAGTCTTTGTGATATACTAAGTAGTAATTATGATATACTAAGTAGTAATAATGAGATTCAAAGTCAAAATTATGAAATACTAAGTCATAATTAGGACATCTGAAGTCATTATGAGATACAAGTCATAATGAGATGTTATATTATGACATTTGAAATCATAATTATGAGATACTAAGTCGTAATTATGAGATTCAAAATCATAATGAGATACTAAGTCATAATTATGACATTTTAAATCATTATGAGATAAGAAGTAGTACTGAGATTATGGGTCATAATTATGACATAGTATCTCATTATTATGAGATAAGAAGTCATAATTTTAGGAAATGATCTCATTGTTATGACTTACTAAATGGCAATTTTTTCACCTCTAAGTGGCAGAAACAGGCTTCCACAGATGAGGGTGAGCGCACAGTTCTGCTGTGCTGATGCTGAGAGCAGCACTCACAGTTACCCAGCATGCTTCACTCACTGCACAGTCTCAGTGTAGGGGTAAAAAAGGGTCACTCAGCAGGACGGCGCAGACTGAGAGCTGCGGTGAATGGAGAGCAGCTCCACACATACAAGACTGACCTTAACCCAGCTTTACCCTCCACACTCCAGCTCAGAGTGAAATAACCCTTCACTGGAGTTACAGACGTTCTGCGTGTCTGCTGAGGCGTGTGGCAGCGGTGGATGTTTGCCAGCTGGATACACAGCTGAATCCTGCCTTGCCTGTCCAATTTCATCTCTGTCCTCATGCCTGTGTGTGTGTGTGTGTGTGTGTGTGTGTGTGTGTGTGCACATTATAGCTTAACACATCAGTTCATTCACATCAGCAAAGCAGGGCAGCCATTCAAAAAAAGCTGACAGTAGTGCTCCAGGCAAAGCAGCTAAAATCCTTGATGTTAAAAGCTGTCAGCTTTGAGTATTAGGAAGAAAAAAGGAAATACAGAACATAAACTAGAATTACAGATGCGCAGTAGCTTTGTGTATATCCAGTCTGTGACGGGGTGCATGGTACATCATGAGGCTGATGTGTTAGTCCATGATAAATTGGACCTAAAATGATCATTTTTCCAATGTTAGAATTACAGTTGATAATTATGACTGATAGGCCCCATTTTCAGCTCATGCATGCAATAAGGAATGTATAATTACATGCTTAAAAAAGATGGTTCTTTAGGAAAGAAAATGGTTCTATAAAGAAACGTGAACATGCAAAGAACCCTTTGCATGATGAAAGGGTTTTTTACATTGTGAAAGCGTTCTTCAGAATGTGCTAAAGACGGTTCTATATGTAACCTTTTTGAAAAGAGTTCTATATAGCACCAAAAAGGGTTTTTCCATTGTTATGATGTAAAGCTTGTAACAGAAGAACCCATTTGGGTGCTATACAAAACCCTTTCCAAAAAGGTTCTATGTAGAACCATATACAGCACATTCTTCATCAATCTGAAGATCTCTTTCATGATGCAAAGAACTCTTTAATCATTGCCCATTCTTGGAGCAGCGCAGCCTCACCAGCAGAGCAGCACCCCTAGGGATAACACCACTGGCCAACACACCGAAGATCTGAGGTTCAGTTCCCCCTCTAGGAAGGAATGGCACAATAAAAGTCCTTGGGCAAAGCTCACGCTGCGTTTTGCTTATGACTGTAGATGGATGACGATCCAGATGTTCCAGATTTTAATGATGGACAATTCTGCCACCAGCACCAATGACTATGTACCGTAGCGGCTAGCAGAATGTTTGGTCAAGAGTTCAGTTTTCCTAACTTCTGCAGTCAGCCAGGGTGGTGGCACATGGTGCTGAATGCTTGTAGTTGAAATCCTGATGTAGCTGTTCATGTAAAATAAAACCCAAACTTCAACCAAAACTAACCCTTAGAGGCACTGTTTGTTTAAAACACAACTGTATGATAAAAATAGTGTCACACACAGGCACAAACACCACTGTTGTTCCAGTGATGCTATGGCCATGCAACATTCATATAGCTGCATGCCACGGTCACTCACGTACAATTACACCAGTTCTGCTATGACGCACGGACATTTAATACACACAATGTGCATAATGATATTTTGTTTTCCTCAGACTTAGTAAGTTGGGTTGAAACATTCCATATAGAGCCTGTAGTGCCACATATAAAAATACTGTAATAACTACAATGATTTTTATTCAATGTTTTACAAACTAAATTCAAATAAACAGGCGCACTTTAAATTATGCTCACTTTGTAATGAAACATAGTCAGTGTTCTTTAAGATGTGGCGATATCCACAATGTGCTCAGAAAAGCATAGTGACATTTTATTGTTATCTTGATAAATTATCATTATATTGCCCATCCCTAGCTTAGTCAACTCTTAAGCTTAGCTTGATCTAACTCTGGATTTGCTGTATTACAACATTGGATCGTTTTTCACCGAAATACATTGCCATGCCAACCGATGCTGCTAAGCTCTAGGTTAGGCTAAGTTTGGGAATACAAATAGCTCTGAAACCAAACAAGGCCAAACTTCTGACCAATCAAGGTCAGGGTTTACTGTTAATGCACATTTCCACAGTCTGATTTCTTTTCCCTTCTTTGGAAAAGAAGTTGCTTGACTCCATAGGTGTCATACAATTGGCAGTTCATTTCTTCATACGTCAAGCTGTATCATTAATCACAGCTTGAGTACCTAAACCTGAGTCAATACGAATAATTGGTATCTACCATTGTACAATGAGTTAGCCGTGGTCGTGTTTAAGATTTTGTGAAGCTGAAACCTACTCTGGAATCTTTAAACATGCTTGGTGAGAGAGGCTCCTGCTCTGGGGCAGGTTAAGTTTGAGATTGAACAGCTCTCAGACCACAGCTGAGCTTCTGAACAAATAGGGCAGACCTCCCTGTGTTGGCGTACCCTTCAATCTATTTCGAGTCACTTTTTTGTGAATTGCTGCAGGTTTATTTTATAGTCTACCGACGATTAATATGCTAAAAGAAAAATTCAACAGGAACCACTCAGCTGTCGCACACAGTGCTAAGAGTCTTGCTTTTTGGCTATTATTTTACTTTCTACATATTTTCATATTAGAATTTCTTGGACAAGTAGTAGCTGTTTGACTCTTCTCTATGTTTCACATGATTGGCTGTTCACTGTGAACATCACATTGTCATGGGCTTGTGCACAAGGATTAAGCATAGCTGGAGAATGTAAACCTGGGTTAGCAGAGAATTTTGTTAACCATCATCGTAACCGTGACTACATTTTTTAGGTTGTGTGAAGGTGAAACAGTGAAAAGCCCTGACTTAGCTGAATGCGCTTCCTGAGACAGGACCCTGGTTTAGCCAACATGGCTATGTAAAATTACTCAGTGATCAATTTGTAACCGGTCTTATGCTGTGTTTACATGTTGGCGGTAGACGATCAATGGCAAACTGGATATTCCATTGTTTTCAAAGGAGCACAGTTTTCATTTCTAAATGCCGCCATCAGTCGAATACCCCATGAAGCCCAGAACTACGGTAGTTTTAATT